CATTGAAAAACAAACCCCCCCCCCCCCAATATAAAGCTGGCTACGGTCCTGGGTTCATTACCCGGTTAAGTTAGAAGATGTGACGCGTCATCGGCCGACCAATCGGAGTGCCCGCAGCTCTTGCACTAAAGCTGACGCGACGTTTTGTGGCTGCATTATTTAGGCTGGCTATCGTGTGTGTCAATGACATGCATATGGAGGTGGGTGGATGGTTACTGGTAATATAAAACGAATTCTTTCAATGTATGGCCCCCATTCGACTGCGCGACTGTTTTTCAGGCACAAATGTGGTATCGATGAGTAAATTCGCAATATTTTTTTAAAACGCCGGACAACATATGTCATAACTCTAATAGTGCACAGCCATAGAGTTATATATTAGACCTATATTATTATATCTATATTATTATATATATATAAATAAAAAATATATATATATATATATATATATACAACTCTATGTGCACAGCTGAAGTACATAGCTACCTAGCTTTAATATTGCCACTCGGCCGAAAACGGCCGAAAGACTATTTTTCAGCTCCTGAAATTCAATAGGATAGGATCCTATGGAGAATTTCATAGTGGTCTGTTCTCATATAGTTAGTTAGTATAGTAGAGATCAGTGGTAGTAGCCGTGCGGAACATAACGACTGTATTATTATACAGGCTAGATTTATATTGACTTATATGCGCCATCTATCGGGAGAAATAATCATTAATGATTGAAAAACTACGAATCTGCGAAAGTTAGTCGCATAACGAAAATTTCTGTTACACAGTTGAGAGTCAACATCATGAACATGATGTTGTGTTGGGTTCAAGTTGGTTTATTTTTTATTTTACTCAAAGATGCCTCTACATTTACAGATAGCCCAAAGTACGACTATGAAATCAAGTACATAACCATGAAAGTAAGATTCAATACTACTAACTGCAAAAACTGCAACTTTTTGAGGCTCAATGCGACATAGCGAGAAATCTATTCGGTACCGGTAGGCGTAAACCGACCAGGCTCTCCGACTAGTTACACGGCGGAGGACGGCCTCTCGCCGGCCTCACACGGCCTCTCGCCACGTAGTGTTAAGCGAGATGGGAACTTGTGGCTACGGTAGGCGTAGCTCTAGTACTATAGCCCGCGTTCGATTAACTGCCGCAGGCCAGCGCCAACCGTATGCGGGCTATAGTTACTAGAGCTACGGTACTAACTTATTACGCAGTGGCTAGAGGTACGGTAGCCGTCGGTCGTTGAAGCCACTGGCAGCAAGATCAAGCCCGCACGTACAGCACACACGCGGCGCTATTGACTATATATACAATATTAAGATACGGCTACCGTACCCGTAGCCACTGCCAACTTATTACATCAAAATGGGGGTCTCCGGAACTACGGACAGCATGCTCCGGAACTGGACATGTTGGCGAGAGGGGGCCTCCAGAACTGGCCGAGACCGTGAGTGCGGTGCTGCCGCAGCTAGTATGTGTGTCCCGTGTACGTACGTACGTGTCACTGATTTTTGTTGTTTTATTATTGAAAAAAGTAATAAAATAAGAAAAAGCAGTGACACGCTCTCCGTGGCCGAGGCATGCAGCACTCCGTCCTTGGGGACATTGGAACGAGACCGGAATCCCCGGAATCTAGAAAAACTTGCCAAGGGACCAATTCCAATTCATGAGAATTCACGGTTCTCCGGAATGGAAAAAAGCAGGACCTATGGTCTGGGATGGGAAATATGTGAAAAAGGGGTTCTCCAGTGTGGAAATTTGAGGTGTAAATGGGGTTCATAACCGCGGCACATACCTACCATACAATATATTATATGGAGTCCCCCCGCCTCTGGGGGCGGCTCCTTGAATTCTGAAAGGGAGAGTACGATTATTGTGGTGTGGAGAGGGTGGTTTCATACTTTATTCTGTGTGAACGGACACACGTTTTGCAACATGATCATCTTGAGCTAATTAAGTTAACACTCACAAAATTAGTTCCCTGGATCCCTGGAGTGGAGGGCCCCGGATCTGCCCCCCCCCCCCCTACCAATGACTACTGAAAGTGTGTGTTGATTTTCTTGCCAGCTACTTCATCACTTGTATATCATTTACTAAATAATCATTTGATTTGGTAAATTGCACTATTTCCATTATGCCTAATCTTGACTAAGGTGATGAAGTGACTCAATACCTTCACGGTGAGGAGCTTGCAAGGTCATGTTGATATATATATATTATACCAATGTGCTGTCTTTCAATTAATAAATAAAATAATAAATAAATAAATAAGACATGATTGAGAAATATGTGAACAAAATTGTGAACCATAGCATGTAGACCTACCTATTCAATTTGCATAATGGATAGGTTGACCACTTTGGCTTTGCCAATGATGATACATTTGAGCTGCGCTACCTGATCTCCAAGGAGCATTGGGATGAGAATGGAGGACCAGTCTTCTTCTACACTGGCAATGAAGGCGACATAACCTTATTCTGTGAAAACACAGTACGTATCTACACGTACAGTAATATCAAGAGCGTATTAAGAAAGCGAATTCATTCTTAATACGCTCTTGGTAATATACATTGTCTTTATCAATATATTATAACTTGTCAAGTGTCCTAGCTTTCTATGAGCAACAACCAGGTGATTGGTAATCAGAATCGGTTGCATATGTGGCTTCATGTTAGATTGAGATTTTCATTTACTTGCTTGCAGGGCTTCATGTGGGATATTGCCCCACAATTCAAGGCCATGGTTGTCTTTGCAGAGCATCGATTCTACGGCAAATCCATGCCTTATGGAAACCTATCTTATTCGGTAATGGATTCGCATTGTTATTCATTGTGCACAGTAGCTAATATTTGACATAATAGATGGGCATAATATTCTTAGTTATTTATTAGCATCAATGAGCACTATTATGTAGCTAGCATTGTTACTGCTGATACTGAACCTTTGGTTGAACCACCTCTAGAGTACTTAATTTATAGTAACAACAGCACATTGTTCTGTGGAAAGAGTATATATTACGAAGTGTAAAAAACCTATTGTCGTGTAAATGGTTAGTTATTACTACGATTGTAATCGTGGTATTCTGGTTAAGTATTACTGCCGTGCTCAATACGAGAACCATTTTTTACTAAATATTGGAAAATATAATATAAGAGATTTTGTAATTTGCCATTCAGGATGCAGCTCACATGGATTCGTTCACATCAGAACAAGCCTTGGCTGATTATGCGGTTCTCATAGCTTACCTCAAGTCGAGCATTCCCGGTGTATCACACAGTTCTGTCATTGCATTCGGTGGTTCGTATGGTGGGATGCTGGCGGCCTGGTTCCGCATCAAGTACCCACATGTCGTGCAGGGGTGAGTTACTACAGATTGAATTCTTCTGCACTGCGTCCTTGCTGCACTGCTCTCTCTTGAACTAATGTTTATTTTAAAAGATTCAAGGTTGCCTTCTCCCCACACTGTTTCCAGGTGTTTTTGAGACAAGTGTCACGACTTAGGTGATTATGGAAGTGAAAGAATAAATAACTAGAGCACTCGGAGAGCACAGACCTCCGCCAAGGCAGCTGAATTCTCTCACTGAAAATTTTTATTAATTAATTAATTGGAAAAATTAATTAATTAATTAATTAATGAATTGGATCCGGATCACCACCAAAATCTCATAAATTCTAAGTTAGCCCATTTCTGACGTATTCTGAAAATTTTATGACAATCCGTCCATAACTTTTTCAGTTAGGCTATACACAAACCCACAAACCCACAAACCAACAAACACACGCCGGTGAAAACATAACCTCCGCCAAGCCCCTGGCGGAGGTAATTATTAATAAAATAGTTAGTTAAAATCAAATGAATATGCCCGAGAGGGACAGTATCACAACACTGTCAGTTGTACATTGTGTTTGTCGTGTGTGCATGTGTTCATCTGTATGTGGGAGCTGTATGCTTGTGTCGACATGTGTGAAAGCATGGCTGTATACATTTCTATGGTAACTAATGTCTGTGTCTAAGATGCATGCATTTCGGTCAATAATTTTACAGTGCCCTGGCTGCATCAGCTCCCGTGCTCCAGTTTGAGCACTACACGCCCTGCGACGTCTTTAACACGATCGTCACCAAGGACTTTGCGTTGGCCGGTGACTCCTGCCCAAAAGCTATACGTCGGTCCTGGGACGCCATCACCAGGCTTGCCAAATCCTGTAAGACTAGCTGCACAACTTGTCAAATTAAACAGCACTGATATGCGTTGGTTTCATGTAAACATCTCGTGTATACTATACTGGTTTTCAATGGAAAGGAATGTTCACCTCACACATAATATTCATCGTACGCGTAGTTCAGGGAACTAAAACAAAAATTCGGTTAAAATTTTCATAACAGATTCACATGTTAAAGTTTAAAGTTCACGTCGAAATTTTCGCTGCACCTGTATCATGATCTAGTTGCTTTCTTCTGATTTTATGCTAGCTCGCAATGCCTCGCATATCATGTGTATGACCAACTGAATGTAAGACTGCATTCGTTTCAGCTGGTGGTCTGCAGTATATCTCCCAAGCTATGCATCTATGTAAGCCATTGAAGAAAGATGCAGGTGCACTTAAAAGCTGGCTCACGGAGGTCTATGGAAACCTGGCGATGGCAAACTATCCGTACCCAGCCAGCTTTCTTTCGCCAATGCCTGCGTGGCCAATCAAGGTGAGTCGAGGTCGGTGCGAAACATTAGTTATAGTTGGAGTGCATAGAATCTAGCAACAGTTATGGATTAGGATTATATTTGTGTTTGGGATAGGAAATATGATTAGAAGTTAGAATTATGCATGGGGTTGGTGCAATTTTAGTTATGCCTCTTATGTTGTTTGTACTCTACCACTGTTTTTACTGGTTTTGGACTCGGGCTGTCAGCTGTAGATCTACACCCTCCACTCTGTGCAAGCCGTTTCACTCGTTGTCGTGCCAATTCCTGAAATGACCAATATGTAGATAAAGTTATGTATGATGGAATGCTGTTTGGATGGGAAAGGCATACAGTCAAACCTATATGTAAGAGTCACTCACATACGCAGATGAAAACGCAGAGGTGTCGTTTTATAGACAGGTGTCCATTCTATAGGAGTAGTTTCACTTTTTAACTGACTTTTAGGGTAAATAACAAATGTGAGTGTGATAACACACGTTAGACAGTAATAGATTTGTCTGTATGTTATAATGGTGATATCTTGATTATTTTCAGGCCGTGTGCTCCAAACTCACAGACCCCGGTCTTCATGACAAACAGCTCATAGATGCACTGTTCAAGGGCATTTCTGTCTACTTTAACTACACCGGTGCTGCAGAGTGTCTCGACGTATCACAGGCGACCACTGGTGCCCTTAGTGATGAAGGATGGGGCTACCAAGTAATGTTCAGTCTCTTAGTTTGCATAGCTTAACAGTATGTGATGCTAGTATGACTACATTAGTGTACATTATGTATCAGCATGTGCTGACAGTCTGACACATGCTGAAGTATTAGTATATGCTGCCGATTTGGTACATGTACTGATGTGTAAGTTTGCATTTGTGTCAAGACTGTTAAACTTTACAAACGTTTTCATTTGACGATTTAACTTGCACATTGTTTTGCCAAAAAAGTGCACTCGGTAAACAGCAAGTGTGGTTTATTTATCGTCACACGTTTCCATTTTGTTGCTGCGTTTGCGGCAGGCATGCACAGAGATGACGATGCCGTTCTGTGCGGACGGGGTAAATGACATGTTTGAGCCGAGCGAGTGGAACCTACAGTCATACTCAGACGACTGCTACAAGAAGTGGCACGTGAGGCCACGGCCGGACTGGGTGCCTCTGTACTACGGTGGTTACAACATCACGGCTTCCAGCAACATCATCTTCAGGTGGGCACAAGATGCTGGGAGCTCACACTTTTCATTCAGTTTTTAAAGACATTACCTGTTCAGTCGATTGATTGATGTGATCACATTTCAGAACGTTTAATCATAATTGGCCCAGCGCAGTAATGGGATGTTGATATCATACCTGTATGTTGTTATCGGTGGGAAGGCACCTTGATTACAGTGCGAAAATGGCTTATCCGCAAACATTCAATGTGGGATAACGAGCGATGTACCTCCTGTGCTACGTTATATCCGAAACTATTGTTGTGCGCAAAAGGCAATTTTCCCAAATGGTTTGAGTGATAATATTTGAGTTGTCCTACACATCTGCTTTTTCATCCTTAAAGATTTGCATCCAGTATTCTTCATGGATCGGACGACATGTTTTTTTTACAGTAATGGGAAGTTGGACCCGTGGTCGGGAGGCGGGATCCTAAAGTCCCTGTCGGACACCCTCGTCGCGATCATCATTGACGAGGGCGCTCACCACCTGGATCTGCGTGCGAGTAACAAGGACGACCCTCCGTCCGTCATTGCCGCCCGGAAACAGGAGGTGGAGATCATTCGACGGTGGCTAGGGGAGGCAGCAGGATGGGAACAGCATGCGCAGGATGGACGCAGGCTAGTTGTACACGACTCGCAGGTCAAGAGAGAGCATCTGTGATCTATATGTTGCCGAGAAACGAAGTGCCTACCTCCGTTGACACGGACGCGAGTGCTGTTGGAATTCTTCTTCTTCTTTTTCTTCCTCTTCTTCTTCTGCATCTTCTTCCTCTTCTTCCTCTTCTTCTTCTTCTTCTTCTTCTTCTTCTTCTTCTGCCTGTTCTTCTTCTTTGTTTTCTCCGTTGTCGTGGTCTGTTTTTCTTCTTCTCTTGTTTTCTTCTTTTTGTTCATATTTTGTTCTGTCTGAGAGCTTCTCTCAGGGAGACGTTTTCAAGCCCTTGTGAGAAAACCCTAAACTAACAAACTATACTTGTAATGGTAATGTCTAAACAGCTCTAAACAGTAGTCTAATTAGAAAACAAGATATTGTAACTCTGTAACTGCGCAATAGATAGCGCTGAGAGTGCTGGCATTTACTCCTAGCTGTTGTTGCATCATGATTTATCAACCATGTCTTATTCTGTCTGATCATCCTTTATTTTTGCCTTAGTTGCAATATCATATGAAATTCTATAACTGACGTAAAACAGGTTTGGATCGATTCTGGGTAAAAGAAGAGTGAATGGTATTTTGTTAATAAACATATCAATGATCAAGCATATATATACGTGACTGTTTGTAAGTGATTGTAAACACATCGTAAGAGCGGATTTACATAGCCATATAGCAACTATGTATCCATACTTTTGTTACACATAGAGAGCAGAATTAGAAGGGAAGAATGAAATTAATGATTTGCGTACTAAACGTGAAATTCACACAATGACTTAATCAAGGACAATTAATCTCCTGCTAAATCTCTGGAAGTGGAACAAAAAATAATGTAAGAGGCAAGCTTTAACGAATAGCAAGCACACTGATACATTAACAGCATGAACAATATAAGTATAGAATATATTTGTATATATATAATATATATATATGTATATATATATTGTGGATATTGGTCGTAGGAAACTTCTATGATCTCGCGCTAATTTCCTATGCACAGCAAGCACAGAACAATTATACGTATATACTATACTATTACTATATATACAATAATTATGCTATTCTGTAGAATGCGCTGCACACTCGGAAGAGAACAGCGCGACATAGATAGTTAACGTACGCGCAGATAGAGAATTAATTCCGGAATTGATTGAATGATTAATTGAATTGAATTGAAAAATTCACATGACCGATCACTGATTGACTGGATTGCGCTGAAACCACATCGGCGGCCGACACCTAGAGATGGCAGCACTGTGCAGTAAACAAAGTAGCTGGGAAGCAAGACAAAAACGCGACCAAACATGTTCTGTGATTCCTTAAAGATATACTGTAATACATAACAAACGGTTAGAGCACATGGGCCGATCTTCGATCTTTGAATGTTGACCTAGCTGATTATGTACGAAAAATATTACCGGAGAGAACTGAGAAGCTACGGATGTTGTGCGAAAAGTAAAAGCCAGGCGTGGTTCGCAACGTCACATTCAAAACAACAACAACTTCGTTGATTGAGCCAAGCCGGTGTTTACTGTTGCCGTGTTGGTCCATCGATCGATCGTACGGTATCGTATTCTACACCGTAAGTAGCCACAAGTTCCCACTACGTTGGCTACGAGTACGAGTAGTACTACTACGCCGTGTAACCATAGAAATAGATAGATAACCGATAATAATAATAACCATAATAATAGATAGATAGATAGATGGTTATCTATCTATTTCTATGCGTGTAACAGTCGGAGAGCCTGGTCGGTTTACACCGTAAGTAGAGTTCGCACGCAGGTCGCGCATTGTCTCTATGCCGAATCTGCTGCGGTGTGTAAACAGTCTGGCCGTGTCGTCTGATGGAAGTTTGAACAAAGCAAACTGAACTCGGTTGCATCATCACCGAAATTGTCATACTTGTTCTATTACAAGCGTACACGTGATCCGTGTAAATATATACGGTTTCGTTTGTGTTGTTACTTGTAGCTGGAGTTAGCCCTTGAGCTTGTGTTGTGCACTTCTCACTCATCGCTCAGCTGGCTGCATTGCGTTAATTCTATCAGAGACAGAGGAGCGACCAGCTTCATAGATTCATTCCTGTGTTGGAGCGAAGTGCTTTAGCGTTGGTACCTAGCCCGACCAGGCTGTGCGACCGATTGTCTATACAGGTCTTCTAACCCTAGCAAGAACGTTTCTTGGAGCTAGTTGGTACCATAATGTCAACGGCCTTTAGTAGACAGTAGCTCCAAGAAACGGTCTTGCTAGGGTTAGAAGACAATCGGTCGTATAGACAATCGGTCGCACAGCCTGGTCGGGCTAGTAGACAGGTCCTAGCTGGCCCTACCCACGTAGCCTAGCCCTCCGCAACAGGAGAAGTGCAGTGAAGTGACAGAAAAGGACAGGTCGCGGAGTGAAGAGCTACACGGATAGAGTGAAATCGATGCCTTCCTAGTTGTATAGTTCAGGTTGACGTATCATAGAGCTAAGAATATATAATTATGGTCATAGAGCAACTAGGTAAATAAGATGTACGTTTCAGGTGTGTACATCACGATGGATGAACGGCTGCGCAGTGCATTGATAGTGAATGCATCTCTCGTGGTGGACAATGTGTACACGGAGTTTCTAACTCCATTCCTGATTGCCGACAGCATTCTGAACTTTGCAGAATGTGAGCTGATAGAGAGCGAGGTAAGTCCTAACTTTTCTTAACTCCATCTTGTATTTATTGAGGGGGGGGGGTTCCTAAAGTAGTATCGATCCACAATGTTCATGTACTAACACTAAGTGCACACATCACCAATTTCACAGTGAAACCTGCATGTAAGGATCATTCCAAGCAAACCACAAGTTTCATTTTCTGACAGCTGTTCCTCCTATATAGGCAGTGAGTGTGACTGAGTGTGTATTAACTATTCGTAATTATTGGTTTAAATTAAGTATCCTTCTGCAGACAGTTGTTGATCCTATACAGGTATCTGTAAACGTACGCCTGCCTGCTTGCTCTACGACCCACCCTCTTTCTTCTACGCCTTCTAGCGCACGCATCCTCTGAAGGCAGCAAAGCTACTGCAGATCCTCCACACGAAGGATTCGTCGGCATACCACGGCTTCCGCGCGGCGCTCGCGCGCGCCGGCTACGACTACATTGCCGAGAAGATGGACGGCGATGTGTCGGGCGCGCGGTCGCGCCGGCCCAGCGACGCCCTAAATCATACTGCAATCAATGCCTAATTAATGCTTAATTAATGGCTCAATCAATGCCTATTCCAAATGCTGATTAATGCGCAATCAATGCTCAATCAATGCTTGATTAATGCTCATCAATGCTTGATTAATGCTCATCAATGCTTAATAATGCTTGATTAATGCTCAATCCATGCTTGAATTATATGCTCAATCATGCTTAATATATGCTCAATCAATGCCTAATCAATACTCAATCAATGCCTAATTAATGCTTAATTAATGCTCAATCAATGCCTAATTAATGCTGAATTAATGCTCAATCAATGCTCAATCAATGTTAATCAATGACTAATAATGCTCAATCATGCTTGATTAATGCTCAATCAATGCTCAATCAATACTCAATCAGTGCTTGATTAATGCTCAATCAATGCTTGATTAATGCTCAATCAATGCTTAATTAATGCTCAATCAATACTCAAGTCAGTGCTTGATTAATGCTTGTCGTGCAATCCACACATCTAGACTTCCCAGAGCCGCGTGAGTGCCCGTTACCAATTCTCTAGCAGCGCACATTCTGCAGCCTCTAATCGTAACTCCACTGCTCTGCCAAAGCCAACTTTCCCTACTGCGGAAACGCGTGGGTTTCGCGGTTCGTAGCGTTACGCCCCTCAACCATCAAAAGTGGTTATTGACAAAGAGATGAAACCCAAAAGCGAGTCAGATCTGTGTGTTGTGACTAATCTATAGCGGCCGCCATGCACTTACGAACCATGTTTTTGAGGAAAAAATGGAAGATGGAGCATCGCGGCATGAATAAGTATAAAAAAAGCATGAAGGCATAAATAAAGTGCTTAATCAAGTAAGATTGAAGTTTTTATTAGGCCGATTAGCCTTGTAGAATCTTGGCTCTAGCTCGTCAAAAATCCCCGAATACTCCAAGCAGCATATGTTCAGATTTCACACACACACATGCGCGCAACACACCACACATACACTTCGCGCCGGCGGACACACCACATAACACGGCCAGCAACAGCCACAATATGCAACGCATGCACGCAGCAGGCGCACACCAGGCCCAGCCTAACACACGAGCGCCCCACACACACACAGCGCCCGGCGCACAGCCACATACGCCACTAACATGCTCTCTGACATACTTCTAAGTTTAATCCAACGCGTTATAATCTATCTATATATCTGATATATATAGTATATATAGATATCTGACTAGTGGGATGGAAACTGGCGTGCGGCAACACGAGTTGTTTACATTGCTAATGAAAACGCTGGCGATTGTGAATACCAGGTCGGCGCGGCAGATGGCGCAGGCCGAGAAGGCAGCTCCGCTAAGGAAGCCAACGCTCGAAGGCAAGCTGAATTTAATATCGTCGATAGCAAAGTGCTCTCTTCTCTCTCTAACGCTTTCTCTTCCTGCTATCACCTTCGAGAGGGAAAAAGGGCGACGAGAATGAGAGAGATAGAGAGAGAGAGAGAGAGAGAGAAGAGAGAGAAGAGAGAGAGAGAGGAGAGAGCAAGAGAGAGAACCGACAGACAAGAAGAGAGAAGACGACACAACCAGACAGAGACAGAGAGAGCAGACACACAGAGAGAGAGAGAGAGAGAGAGCGACAGAGAGAAGAGAGAGAGAGAGAGAAAGAAGAAAAGAGAGAGGACAGAAGAAGAAGAGAAGAAAAAGAGAGAGCAGACAGGACAGAGAGAGAGAGAAGAGAGCAGAAGAGAGAGAAGGAGAGAGGAGAGAGAGAGGAGAGAGAGAGAGAGAGAGAGTAGAAGAGAGTAGAGAGAAGAGAGAGAAGACCACAGACAGAGAGAGAGAGAGTGAGAGAGAGGAGAGGAGAGAGAGAGAGAGAGAGAGAGAGAGAGAGAGAAGAGAGAGAGAGAAGGAGAGAGAGAAGAGAGAGAGAGAAGAGAGAAGAGAAGAGAGATAGCGAGGAGAGAGAGAGAGAGAGAGAGGAGAGAGAGAGAGAGAGGGGAGAGAGAGAGAGAGAGAGAGAGAGAGAAAAAAAGAGAGAGCAGAGCAGAGAGAAAGAGAGAGAGAGAAGAGAGAGAGACGAGAGAGCGAAGAGAGAGAGAGAGAGAAGAAGAGAGAGAACGGAGGAGAGAGAGACCATTCACACACACACCAGACAGAGACAGAGAGAGAGAAGAGAGAGAAGCAGAGCAGAAGAGCAGAAGAGACGGAGGAGAGAGAGAGAGAAGAGAGAGAGAGAGAGAGAGGAGAAGAGAACAGAGAAGAAGAGAGGAGAGGAGATGAGAGACCGGCAAGAGAGAGGAGAGGAGAGAGAGAGAAGAGAGAGACGAAGAGCATAGACGAGAGAGAGAGAGAGAGTGCAAGAGAGAGACAGCAGATGAGAGAGAGGAGAGAGAGAGAGGCAGAGAGAGAGAGAGAGAGAGAGAGAAGAAGAGAAGAGGAGAGACGACAGAGAGAGAGAGAGAGAAAGGGGAAGAGAGACAGACAGTAAGAGAGAGAGCAGAGAGAGAAGAGAGAGAGAGAGAGGAGAGAGAAGAGAGAGAGAGAAGACCGACAGAGAGAGAGAGAGAGAGAGCGAGAGAGGAAGAAGAAGAGAGAGAGAGAGAGAGAGAGAAAGAGAGAGAGAGAGAGAGGAGAGAGAGAAGAGAGGAGAGAAAGAAGAGAGATAAGAGAGAGAGAGAGACGGAGCTAAGAAAGAAGGAGAAGAAGAAGAGAGAAAAAGAAAAGAAAAAAGACGAAAGAGAGAAAAAAAGAAAGAAGAAAAAGAAGAAAGAACAAAAGAGAAAGAAAGAAAAAAAAGAAAGAGAGAAAGAGAGACAGAAACAAAGAGAAAAAAAAAAAGAAAGAAAGAAAAAAGAAGAAAAGCAAAGAGAAAAAGAGAGAGAGAGAGAGAAAGGAAGAAGAGACAAAGAGAAGAGAGAAGAGAG